TGATTCAATGGGGTGGCAGAGAAACAGAGACAGCCTTGATGCTGTGTAAACACTGTTCAGCAAGACCTAAAACATCAGTGAGTTATCCGCATCGTATTGCTCACAAATCTAAAACACAGCACCCTATGAGCTTCTACAAAGAAAATTAACTCCATCCCAGCCAGACCCAGTATAATCTCCACTCCATATTCCATACCATTTATGTCATGCTCAAGTCCCACAGTATCCAATACAACCTTATTAACCATCCCTCCCTTCTCATCCTTTGATTTATACATGGGTATCATTCTCTTAGTCTATGGGCCATTCCTGTAAAATATCCGTAAAATGTTCCTAAAATGTCCATTAAGTTCATTTAGTCCATGACTTGTGTTCTGTCTGTTACAGTAGTCAGTCAGGACAGGAGAGGCATGTTGTGTTGAGTTACTGGACATCAAAACCAGCTCAGGCTGGGTCACTGCTGTGTTTCCCTGGCTTTTTGCAAGGCTTGTTCTCTGTTGGTTTAGGTGATTCTTGCTGTAGTACTTCCTAAAATACACAACTCATCAAATCATGGTTCATTTTCCTCCAAGGTTAAATCTCTTGAGGTACATATCAGACTTCCCCATCTTCTGCATTACCCACCAAGTGTACCTGGGTCCTTGAGCAAAAGCAGTCCCACAAACAGGTTTGCCTCCCCAAGGGAGGAGCAACCCATGCTGTCTTTCCCAGCCAGATCTCTAGACACACTACAGCAACCTTATCTCCTCCTACAATACAAAGGGTTTTTGTTTGGGCAGGTCCAGACTGATTAGCTAATCCTCTGGTATTAATTAGCCAAGTGGCTTCTGCTAAATTTGCATCCCACTGCTGACATGTCCCAGTGCCCGTTGCTTTCAGTACAGTCTTTAACAGTCCATTGTATCATTCAATCTTTCCAGAGGCTGGTGCGTGATAGGAATGTGATACACCTGATCAATGCCGTATGTCTTGGTCAGGTGCTTATGGGATTGTTTCAGAAATGAGTCCCATTGTCTGACTCAATGCTTTCTGGGGTGCCATGTCACCACAGAACTTGCTTTTCAAGGCCCAGGGCAGTGTTTCTGGCAGTGGTATGGGTACCATACAGTGTTTCAGGTGGTGAAACGCTGTTCAGTCTTTACACCATGAAAGGAGCCCATGTCTCTGTTGCCCAGGCTATGCTACAAGGACTATTCACAGGTGTGGCCCTAATACAGACCAGCATGGTCCTTCCATGCTAGAAGGTGTGGGGTTCAAACCCACATGGACATAAGTCCATTAGATCAGTATCAGTATCAGAAAGAAGAGAGAGGTCTTCAGCCCATCTATTGCATCTGGGGAATTGTGCAACAGCAACTGTAATCCTCCTGCAAGGGCTCTTTTTAACCACTGCTTTTTCCCACAATTCATGTACACAGACTTCCAGGGCCAAGGTAGGTGCACCATCCTACTTCCTCATATTCTCCCCACAGTCACACAGACAGAACCACAGGGTGGCACATGGTCTGTGCCCATGGTTCCCTTTCCTTTGAGCAGAGAAAGGCTGATAGCGGCAAGAAGGAAGACAGATTATCCACATTCTCTTCGAGTTGCTGGACCTTGTGGAACAGTCTCTCCACAGCTGAGATGCAGCTCCATAGCAGGGAGGGGGAATAAAGATTGTCCTCAAATTGCTGGAGCTGTCAGACCAGTCTATACAAAGTTGGTGCCTCACCGTCAGCCTAATCTATCATTGCTAGATTGCTGGTGCATGATGGTGCAGCAATGGTGCAGATGGTGCACTCTCTACAGAGTTCTGCCACACAGACCGCGTGCACTGTATGTCATTTGGATCTTTGGGAGCCTCATTACTGTCCATGTCACTGTAGACCACTTCCACCACTGCTAATTTCCTCAGACACTGGATACCTTCCTCTGTGGTAGTCCACTCGCCTCACTGGGTTACAATATCTTCCTTAAGAGGGTACCTTGTCTTCATAATAAGAGCCACCTCTGGAGGCTGTTTTCCGATCCCTCTGTCAATCCCACAGTCCCTAGCAATGGATCCCAGCTGCTGTGCTTCCCCACGTTCTAGTTCCAGACTGTTAGCCCCACTATCCCAGCACTGGAGCAACCAGGTAGCAAGTTGCTCATCTTGCTGACAGATGAAATCTTTCTGCCTATCTTACCGCTTGGTCATGGATAGGGACTGGGTAGTTTCTGCTTCTTACAATTTCTATCTCTTTCCTCTCGTGTCCTGCTGCAGAACAGGCCGCCTCCTCCGATTCTTCCTCTCTCCCCATCTCAGGAGGAGTTGCTGCTTCTCTTGCTAACTGAGTTGACCTCTGCTTCCACTCTTTCTTCTTGATTACAGGAACAACTATTATAGTCGAGCATTTGGTCTCTGGTTTAGTGTCCGTTTGTGTGGTGTCAGAGCAAGAGACCTTCTCAGTGCCCGTTTGTGGGCTCCTAGATCGGGAGACCCTCTTGCATCTCTGAGGGTGCTGGACAGTGACTTGATAGGCATGGACCAAGTCCGAACAAAGCTTTAGAAGTCACTGTGTTTCACCTCCCCTCCTTCAAATGCTGTATTAGTTTGATGGGTTTACTGGCTTGTTCAGGCGTGAAATCTCAAGCTATCGGAGGCAATAATGGCCCTATGCACCTGCCCAACTCCTCCCATACAACCTGCCACCCCCTGGATCAATCATCTTAGAGCATGTTCCTGTGTGGCATCCCCAATTAGTTGTTTAACCTTATGAATAATAATCAAAATCAGGATCACAACACACACCAGTATGAACAGTTTGATTACACCAGGACACTGAAGGAACTGAGAAGCCATTACATCAAGGCTATAAAAACCTATCCTGTGGGAGAGGATGGGGTAGGTGCCATTCTTTCTTCTCTCCACAAAATGTCTCTCAGAAGAGAAAAGGGGAAAGGTATAGTTGCTGGTTTTGTCCATGAGATCAAGTACTGTGACACCAGCAAAGACCCAAGTACCAGATTAGGCTGAAGGCCAGTGGTTTTATCATAGGTCTCCCAAGCAAAGGAAAACAAAGTGATAAATAACACACTAAAGAGAAAAATCCGAAAACAGTCATTAATGATTCTTGGAGTCTGTTGTACAGCTAGAAAAGAATCAAGCATTAGAATATTAAAGGAAACACATAAGTCAGCACCCAAAGTAAACATGCCAGCATCACGATCTGCAACAGCCTCTCAAATAACAACTAAACAGGTATAACAGCTAGAAGTTTAATCTAGCACACTCTAATCAAATCTGTTATTATCTTGAAGGCCTTCAGCCGCATGTTGGGCACCTTAGAAAAGGACTGTTGTGGGTTAACCCCAGTAGGCAGCTAAGCACACACCGTCTCATTTACTCCCCTGACTCCAAGCCCAATGGGCTAGGGGAAGAACAAAGGAAGGGTAAAAGCGAGAAAATTTGTAAGTCAAGACAGAAATTGTTCAGTAAGTGAAGGTGAAGTGGAAGAAGAGAGAAAGAAAATAAAACAAATGATGCAAAGGTAATCATTCACCACCTCCCAAGGCTGACTGATGCCCAGACAGTTCCCAGACAAAATATGGCTAACCTCCCTAAACCTCATGCTCTGCCTTTTAATTGCTGAGCTGGATGTTACACGGCATGAAATATCTCTTTCGTTGGTTTGGGTCACCTGCTTGGTCGTGTCTGTGTGTTCCCAACCTTTTGTGCACCCACCAATCTATTCACTGTGGGGCAGAGGAAGAAACAGTGAAGGCCTGATGTTGTGCAAACACTGTTCAGCAAGAACTAAAACATTGGCATGTTATCAGCATTGTATTGGTCACAAATCTAAAACACAGCACCCTACGAGCTGCTGTGAAGACAATTAACTCCATCCCAGCCAGACCTAGCACACTAGCACAGCTAAAACCAAAAATCTAACAGATAAACCAGCTTAGCCTCATGGATTCATCTTGAAACTGACTAGTTAAAATATAACATTACCTTACCTAACTCTATCATGATTAAGATTGTCTATTCAATCATCCATTAAAATAAAGTTACGTCCCAGGGATTAGACAAACAAAATTATACAAGATTGTGAATGAAATTTAAATTGTCAAATTAAATTAACTGTGATAAGTGTGACAGTTTTACATCTTTTGAAATTGAATTCAAGTTTTAGCAGACTGCTCTTTCACATAGTTATTTAAATAATCAACTTATAATTAAATACCTGGCATTTGTTTAGTTCCCTCTTTAGCTGAAGTATTGTGATGTGATGTGGTTCTTGGCTGGTCCCAGTCCCTGTGTCATTTTCCTGCATGGCGAGAGTTTCCTTCCTTACTTCCTGTACCATAGCGATCCAGCTCTGCAACCTGTCCCGCTGACTTCTTTTTAAGCTAACATCATCACTCAAATCAACCAGAACTGGGAAGGCTTCATCTACACAATTTCTATAAGTGAAACATTGAACTTGAAGCCGAGTGAGTTGCTCCTCAAGTGAACTGATACGAGTTCTTTCTTGATTTAAGTCATGTGAACACTGATTACTGACTTGCTGGTTCTGCAAAGCTTCTCGAAGCAATCTGATTTCAAGTTCCATTTCATCAATCCGGTCTTGATCGGGGTTGTAATTTACAATTGGTTTATTTCTAATGTTTTTGGCTCTGTTGGCATATTTGAGGGAATTTAAAGATTCATCAAAGTCTGATGAGGATGGACTTATACATGTTATCATGACAGTCTTGGCATTTCCTCCAAGGGAGTCTTTCAGAATACGAGTGATTTTAGCATCCCTGTATGGAATATGTACACTTTTCCTTTTTGGGTCTCCAAGGGCACTGATGACATTTCCCAAGGCCAACAGACCACTATTTATCTGAATTGATTCTTTGAAGCGTTCACCAGTATTTCCAGTCTTTGTCACCCTCTCTGATCCTGCCAAATCCACAAAATGAAATTTTGAAGCAATCATCTGAACTGATTTCCAAGATGAATCCTGTGCAGCATCAGTATTTTTTTGAGACTCTGCAGACTGTTTCTGACAAATACTGATGGTAAAAATGGCATGAGATCGACTAGAGTGCTCATTCATTTGTGTCATGCCTGTGTGACGAGCTGCATTGCCACTTTCCAACAGGCTTATCACTTCATCTGCACATTCTACTTGGAACTCCTTAGCACCGACAATCACTTCAAACAGCAAACCAAAGAAAGTAAGAATAATTCAATTAATTTGAAACTCTTCAGCAAAAGTTTACAGCAATTAGGAATAGTCAAACTATAAACACATATTAGAGAAACATACAAGCCCGCACTATTAGGAGGTCACAGCATATCGCTATAGAAAAATAAGACATCACTATGTGAAAAGCATAAGGTACAACATATCTGAAACCTGCAGTTATTTAATATATGACTGTATTGTGTCATAGCATTTGAAACATTATCTTAAACACAATACACAGCTTTACTCATTTACACATTGCCATATGCAATTTGCAATCTAGTGCTATCTAGAAAAAGTATGAGCAAAATTAGCTCAAAGGGTATCTTCCCAGTTTAAAAAAAAAAAAAAAGGACTAAAAATAAAAAAGTTTGTAGTAGAAATGATTCCCAGACTATGGTAAGAACAGAATTTCTATTCTATATAACTCAGGTAGTTCGGCCTTTTGGACAGGTATCTATTAGTAATCTAATAATGTGGAAGTGTACCTTAGTGCCTTCTTCCAGCTACAGACAAGAAAACCATGCCAGCTCAACACAACAGTATATTAATATTAGGGCAAACACAACAATTAGAATATAAAGAAGAAAGGAAAAACAAAACAAAACAAAACAGATCATACAATTTCATATATATCTCTGTTGTGGATTCTTCTAGCATTTTCATGTAGTGGACAGGAGAACTACAGGATAAATGTTAATTTCAAAGCCTCCAAAAAATATCAGATGCTACTCTTAATGAAATGTTCCCTTCCACTCATTTCATAGTGAGGGGAGGGCAGACATTTACAGTGTAAGTGGCTTAACAGTTATAATTTTGAAGGGAAAAGCAAAGGTTTAACCTTAAAATACTTATTCACGTGAATAATCGCACACTACCGTGTTTCTAGACAGAATTTGCAGAAGCAGTAACTGCGTTTCTACTTTATCATTTGTTGCCATTTCTGATGGAACATCTATATTGTTCACTGGCATCTAAACCCAAAACTGCTTCACATCAGCTAAACTGAGTTTATATTCTGAAAATTTAACTCTTTTCTAGTATTAGTAATGAATAAGCTCTTTCAAGAGAAAGCAAGAATAACTTGGGCACACAACTGAAACCCAACACACCAAATTTTAGAGCTGAAATCCTACCCGTATTTCCCTTTTCATCTTCTCGGATATGTAGTTCCTTCACAGAAGTCTCCAACTCCAACAAATCTCGAAGTTCTTCCTTGTAAACCTCTATATAAGATACTTTCACATGGAAATCAATGTTATGGTTTTCAGAAATATGCTGAAATAATTCCTGAATAGCCCGTGGGATTATGCCCTTTTGATCCTCTGCAACTGATGCTAAAATATAAGCAAAGATATCATAGAAGCTTGCAGTCATTCTGATGCATAAAATGACAAAGACTGAAGACCGAGAGAAGTCTGTAAGATTTGCTACTCAATATACTAAGGCATCTGAAGAGCTCAGTGTTCCCGAGGATTTTTGTAAATATTTGTTTTTCTGGGGTTCAGAGTATTTGTTTGCATCCATTAATAGGATTCAATTACATAATGTTATAATCATAAAAGTTATGAAAAATATGGAGCCGAATTTAAATCTATACTCTTTACAGTATAGATTTCTTCTTTATTCCTACTCATTATGGTTAGCAATGGCATCGCAACGGTATGAGAAACTATAAATTCCACCTAAATACAGCAAAGACCATTAGTAACTTGGTGAGACAAGATTTATGACCAACATTTACAGTAATTTCCTATGATTTCAATGTAGATACAGAACACTAATTAATGCCAAACTCTGTTTTTATTTTTTTTTTTAGTGTTCAGCATAGGACAATGCTTCCATAAATAATTTATGTTCTTTATTCAAGAATATGGTAACTGTTTGTCTATGAGAGGATACCAAGAATCTCTTTTACCAAAAAAATAACTACATAATAGTTATGGGGGTTGTTTAGTCTGGAGAAGAGGAGGCTGAGGGGAGACCTTATCGCTCTCTACAACGACCTGAAAGGAGGTTGTAGCAAAGTGGGGGGTTGGTCTCTTCTCCCAAGTAACCAGTAATAGGATGAGAGGAAATGGCCTCAAGTTGCATCAGGGGAGGTTGAGATTGGGTATTAGGAAGAATTTCTTCACCAAAAGGGCTACTGGAACAGGCTGCCCAGGGAAGAGGTGGAATCCCCATCCCTGGAAGTACTTAAAAGACATGTAGATGTGGTGCTTAGGGACATGGTTTACTGGTGGACTTGGCCGTGCTAGGTTTACGGTTGGACTTGATGATCTTAAGGGTCTTTCCCAACCTAAACAATTCTGTGATTCTATGATTCTAAATAAAAGGAATATTTTAATACCTACCAAGATATTTAGAATAATCTATTTATATCCATTTGGAAGACTTAAATAATAAATTTCTATAATGTGATAGAAATGTCTCTTTCAAAAAAAAAAAGCAAAGACTAAGCAAGCAAACAAATAATTGCCTAAAGTAGACATTTTCAAGGCAAGATAAATGTAGCAACAATCTCCAAAACACTGTTTTGGAGAAATTCTAGTTTAAGCTGCATGTTAAAATGGGGAATGAGAAAGAGCATTTTATAAATTGGGTTTTTCTTAGATATTTTTGGTATAGCCTTATTTATGGAGAATTTGTTTTTAGAACTGTTTAACTATCACGTAAGCTTTGGAAACATTTTTTTTTACTATATCTTTTTGCATTAGTCCTTAGAAGTTCTGCAGCATCATCTGCTATGTGTTAAATATTTAACTTGCTTAAATACACTGTTCACCAGTTTAAAAAAAACCCCAAACTTTCTACAACGTACCAATGTGGCCACCTCCAATGGTGTAAGTCTTCCCAGAACCTGTCTGTCCATATGCAAACACCGTAGCATTGTATCCCTCAGTCAAAGACAGTACAAGAGGCTTAATGCAAACAGTATAAACTTCTTCTTGGGTTGAGTTTTTGCCAAATACAAAATCAAAAGTGAAGACACGGTCTTTCCCAATGATAATTTGTTGTGTATTTGGGACTAATCTCACACACACTTGGTGGTTATGAAGTACTTCTTTGGAAAGCAGAGGTCTGATTCGAATTGCAACTTTAACTGGGATCTCTTCCATGCCAGACTCCATGCCTGTGCTCCCCACTGAGTATTCACATAGTCAACAAGAAATCCGTTACCACTCCTGTGTTCACCTCATTCGCAGTTGTCTGCAACTAAGGAAAAAAGGTTTCCATGTTAGACAAGAATTATAAGCAGAAAGTTGACATCTCCTAAAATATACATAAGCACCATTACACTCTCGAAAAGTACCTGATATAAAAGCAGCTATACTAGTAACTGTTAAATTAATTCATGAATTAATTTTGCCTCTATTAATTTCCAAGCTAGCAGACTTAACCTGAAGTCTGAAAGTTGCCTGATTTTCTATTTGATTACAACGCAGCCATATGAAGCAACAATATCATAAGAGGTTGTTAATAAACATGCTTATGAGTCCTCTCATTATCCTATTCCTGCCTTCACGCTGCACAGGCAACATAAATCAGTCCAACAAAACATTTTTCTCTAAAATTTATGTTATATGTGTTTTAAAACCCTCTTCCACTTACGAAGTGCCAAACATTTGTAACTCCACAAGCACAGAGAAAGCCGTTGTTCCCTACAAAGGAGGTGTGATTTTAAATGTATCTAATTACTACACATAAAGCATTCCTCTGATTTTAATCAGCATCTTTAAGCACATATGTAATTAATTTTTATTAATTATGTCTTTTAGCAACTATGGTTCCTTGTACCGCTCCCTGCGTATTCATTCTTACAACATAAACACTGTATGGTAGCACAACTGTAAATATCAAGGAATAGCCATTCTTTACAGCTGTCTTTCATGAACATCCAAAAACTCTCACAGGTACTCCTGGATCTCAAACACCTTTTTTTTTTTTTTTTTTTTTTTGCTAATTCTAAGAATCTTTGTAGTACAAGGGAAAGTTTGCTGAACTTCCTGCTTGCTGAACTCCCACACACTGCCTTTAAGAAAGCCGTATTACCAAAGTGGCAGAACTCATCAGCTAAGCCCCCAAAATTCAAGTTTGTTGAAAACAAACAGCTTGAAACAGTTGTTGTCTTCTGGTTGCAAAGAAAAGAGTTCTTGCATTTCATTTTATTCCATTCAGTTTGAGAACCTGGCCATCCAGAGGTGAGAAACTATCTGAAGCTTAAAAAAGAAAAGCCTCATTTTACTAACTGAGCAGAAGTAAAACAAATAAGCAAAGCAGGAGACTGAAATCACACTTATATTACAATGGACATGGGGATCATAAACTGCTACATTAACTTACTAACTACAGATTCAAAACACATTTTGATCGATTTCTGGTTTTATTTATCCAGTTGCATTCTTCTTATCCCCTAGCAAATACTGCTTCAAAGACCTGAGATTGTCCTGTTGTTTCATGGCTTAAGAAGTACCCCCCTCCTTTTTTAAAATAAAAAAAAAAAAAAAAAAACACGCAGGGAAAAAAAAAAAAGACACGGAAATCCTATTCACTGTTTCATAAAACAATATGGGAATATGAAATAGGTGTATGCCAAAGCCACAGAAATACTTTGGTGTGGATACATCACATGCTCTTGGCTGCCAGAAAGCAGGATCAAATACACTGGAAGGCTTTTTGCTGGCAAGCGTATTTTCAGAAAGAGCCATTACATCTTCCACGTTTTCCGTGTCTCGAAGTGCACCTTTTACTCCAAACCTGAGAGGCGCCGGGAACGGGATCACGACTGAGTCTCGGGAGCCGCCCGGGACCGCGG